AAATGTAGTCTCAGTAATTATTACACTCTTGTTCATCCCAAAAATGCTTTAGAAAATTATATCACAACTGTATCTCAAGTTTGTCATAGTATAAACCATTGAAGACAATAACGGTAAATATATTTAATACAGTCTAGCGATCTTTTTTCAGGGGAGCAAAGGAATTGAAGGAGGAGGGGGGGGGGCTCTGAAATTTTTTCGACTACCAAGGAGGGGGCTCCTAAAAAATTGAACCGCTAGCGAGGGGGGCTGCTAAAATTTCAAGCTTCGAGTTTTTTAATATCTTCATCCCCCCCCTTGTCATATTAAATGAACTTTCCCTTAATGGGAGGAAAAAAATTCGTGCAAAGCTTGTGCTTCAGAAAAAAAAAATCCTGCAGACAAGTGGGCTTAAAAAAAGTTTCATGCACCGAATATTTTTCACCCCCCCCTCCAGTTATTTCTAATGGTCCGTCCCTTAGCAAAAACGTTACATAAAAGCATACAAGACAATTGTTATCCCATAACTGTGAGCAGGGGGGTTGTGGAAATGGCATTGATAGAGGTGATTCTTTCCTCTTGAGAGCCAATAAGAAAATCCTGGCTAGGCCCTTGGTTTCAGTTTCACAACAATAACAAAACAACAGCAAACTTTAGTAACAAACATTGTACATTGTTAGAGATGCGTTATTGCAAAATCCCCGCGAAGCCTTAAATCATCAGCAGTGAGAGTAAAGGGAAACAGGCCAAATAAACAAAAATGATCAAAAAACTAAAACAAAAAAATAAAGTTGAAGGCCGTTTATCCTTTCAAGGATCCAGGTCAGCAGTGAGAGTAAAGGGAAACAAGCCAAAGGAAACTGTCTGAATACGTGTGGACGGGGCATAGGAAGCCCCTGTTATGAGCCATATTTATTTTTTTTGTCTTTTACATATGACTACAAGAAAGGTTTTTTAGTTTATCACTTCCTAACTGTCATATAATCATCTATATGACAACAGACTATCCTTTTTTGGGATAAGGGTAAAAAGTAAATGAATGGATTTATACCAGGAGAATGGCTTTGTCTGAGTTTCTAGGCTTTAACCCATCCCAGTTTTGAATAGGACATCTTTTTGAAATGTCTTTCAATCATTCCATACCGCTAAGATTGCATGGGTATTGATGGAACAGGTATAGCGTTCAGTTTTTTTTCTGCTTGGGTGATGGAGATGCTTGCGGCCGCAAAAGGAATCATGGCCAAAAAAGAGGAATCGAAACTTTAGAGTTCGAATGACAGAAAAAACGGAATAATGCCTTTTTTGGACAAGAATATTGCATTGGAAAATTTACAAAGCAGTTCCAAGAAGAAACAACTGATAAAGGAACCTTCCAGTATTCCCTTACATCCCTTAAAGACAAGAGAGGCGATTTTGTAGGTAGGAACCGACATTGGCTGGTTTACTAGTGGTGGATACAGACTGAGTCGGAACTGTAATCAAAAGTGTAGAGCGTTGATCTAGGTAGAACAGCTAGGTCTTGAAAACCGAAAATGTTATTTTGCCTGAAATATGGCTTCAATGCCCCGTTCACAATGCATGTCGTCTTCGTCCTTCCTGATGCGTATGCTTTGCCGATTTTAGAGTCGGGAAATATATCCTTGAACAGCGAGTTAAATGTATCCACTGCTGGCCATCTTTACTTCGGCCGAAGTTACCTTTGAAAGAAAAAACCATGCATTTAGTCGGTTAACACACTAGGTACTATGTTTTATTGCCCCATCGCAGATCTGTGCAGTCTAATTCAAAATGAAAGGGCAAGGTAAAACGGGACAACAAACGTGCATAAATCGTGAATGAGATAGTACATGTACAGATATAGGCACAGCTGCGGTACCTTATCAATGTCATTTTGGGTAGAGGCACAGGTCTGGAACAGAGTGGGTTGTTTTTGTAGCTGTTTAGCGTTATTTTGATGTGCCTTGGTCTCCAAGTGGTCCTTTACATCCTTGATCCCTTGTTTTGCACAGGATAAGGCCCGGTTGCATGCTGTGCAATGAGACTTGGAACACACACCCTTTTAGATGATGCAAATGTGGAGCCACCCCTCGCCTTTAATCATGCTTCGCATATGCATGTAGACAGGGCATGTTATTAAGTTTTTTTTGCTTGCCACGCATACTATTTATTTGAAAGCGGCTTTTGATCAAATTTATAACTCTGCAGTTTGTGTCGCTTTGATTGGTAAAGGCTGTTAAATTATATTGACGGAGAACTCAGAAGTTTTGGTAGACAAAGTTTTTATTTTTTCCACAAACATCATGCAAAAAAATTTAGTTGCCAGTTGTTGTCGCGTTTCCTCACAGCTTCCTTCCGCATAAACAATAAGAAGAAGTGCAGTACTGAGTCTAGTTTAGGTGCTCTATCAAAGCTGGGTTTGAGTAATAATGCGTTTGAGTGAGTTTGCAGCCTGCATAGATCTTATCATGGTTTTGGAAGCCATCTTAATGGAAGGGCAAACACGTCTGAAATAACAGTGTTTATATGGAAATCTGATTTTAAATAATATTCATAAAATTTCGCTTCTGAAGGATTCATGAATTGGAAACTTTAGGCACTAGAAAAAGGATTTTAAGGACCAATTTTAAGGGATGTAGCTGTCCTAGAAAGCTTCCTGTAGTCTTTGGAACAGAACATTTCATACATTTCTCTAATTATTTTCCCGCGAACTATTTTTAGCAATTCTCTAATCTCGGCTGGTTTGTGGGAAAAACTTATAGAGACAATCTGTATGGAAATTTCAAAATGCGACCGCAAGCTTTCCAGCACAGCATAATTCCCCAATTTGTTTCTGTTAAGTCCATAAAGTTTCCAATTCATGAATTTTTCAGAAGTGAAGTGTTTGCTTACCCATAAAGATGGCTTAAACCGTGATAAGGTCTATAAGTGACTTGCAGCTCTTTCAAAGCGCTTGAATATCAGTAAACACCCACAAAAGTTAAGTAGCTTACCTCCTGTGTTTACAGGTGGCTGAACTGGGACGTCAACAAGAGGAGTAATCTCCTTATTTTTCAGTTTCTGCATAGCCAGTGTCTTCACGCCCTCAAAACCCAAGGGTAGGGCGCCTAAAAAATTTCTTTGCAGAGAACGGAAATCCGTGGCCGTCTTGATTATTCTCTTCGACTGATAACAGTGTGCAAAAACCGCGCCAACTTTCTATCATGTATTGTGCAACTTGCTCTGTTTTTATGTTTTCCGATCGAGAACAGCTCAAATAAGGGCACTAACTTTACTTCTTGTTTTATTTCCCTTTCTGACATCTCGAAAATAACGAAATTGATGAAAAAAAAATTGGAAAAAGGCATGCTAGGTATTTCCCGGGAGATCTGGTGCTCTAACTAGGAGACTGGCAGATTTGATGAAAAACTTGGAGACTCCCGGGAAAACCGGGAGAGTTGGCAGGTATGCAATATGTGTGCTTTCGTAGGGCATAATTTCAGGTTTTAACATCAGTTTATGCTACTATAAACTTAAGCTATAACAAAATCATGGCACTTGGTGGTTGTGGCAGAATTTCTTACCAGTGTGTGTACAAAATGTTCTGGTTTACACATGTACAATACATAATCATCCTGTACTGCCTTGTTAAGTCTTCAAGGGTTTTCTTTGGTTTTTCCTTCCAAGTATCATTAACCTTTTTGGGAAGGGAAGAAATATCTTGCATCATTCTATAGTGGCAAACCTTGGAAGCTGAGTTAATGTAAAGCCCAAGACCACTCTTTGGCTTCCTGTGCGAAAGATGCGGTCCATTGTGCTTACTTTGGATAGTGTAGTTATCTCTTTAGCCACATGCTAATCCTTCGTTAACCAAGTCATAAACGCATATCATTTGCTAAGCTTAGAAAGTTGCTTACCTGGCAAAGCAAAATTTAGGTTAGAGTGTACAAATAGGTGGGTGGAAGTAAAAGAACAGGCCACAAGGATGGCAGAAATTCCTCCATTTTAGCAACCACAAACTGGTCAGCTGCATTTAATGATGAAAACCTAGTACTTACTTACTTTTCCATTGAAAAAATCTTCCGTATCCCATCCTAGTTGATTAAAATGAAGATTTCTGGAATGCTATCTGATGGTGTTTCCGAAAGATGCGTGATGACAACTGGAATTTGAGTGTGGATGGTTTCTGGGATAATGGTTAAAGGCAAGTGGTCAGCACAATACAAGGCTGCAAATAACAGTCGGTCATCGGACAATGGTCTGATAAATTTGACGTTTTGACCGGCGAAATATTAGTCTGGTCTGTCACTCTGACCGGGCACTTTTGATCCAAATTAAACTTTTAATTATCATACTTTCATGACGCTTGTGGCAAAACATTGTTCCATTATTTGGCTAAACACACCCATTGACAATCAAAAAATAATAATCTGCTTTTGAAAAGTAAATCAGAATTAAATTTTTGTTTAATTATACTGGTAAAGAATTCGGCTTAACGTTCTCAGCGACGAATTGCAGACATGCCGGTTCGGGCGCTCCGGTTTCTGTGAAGTCACATTTCTGAAAAACCATCAAGACTCCAAATTTATGAACTTCATTAAACGAAACCCGACTCAGGTTTAATATTCGTATTCATTTTATTTCATTTTGTTCCTTTGACTAAAAAGACCCATTCAGAGCAATAATCAGTAAGTTTTTTTTGGAATTTATTGCATTCACGAATCAGTTCCGTTTACATAATGTGTATATAAAGAGGCCCAATGTTGCAGATTTCCAAGACAAAAAGATTATAAAAGATTCCAAAGTATTTTTTAACCTAAACAGCAGTTCAGTGCACTCAGGAGGCTTTGAAATAATTTTGCTTCCAACTAAACAGACAATCATTTTTGTCAAAACACAAACGACAAGTAGTCACTCTTCATAGGCACGATTGCATCACCGTTCACTTCTGCTCCAAGTTTGCAGTTTCAATTGTAAACAGTGATAAATCTGCATGATCTAAACGTCTGACTTGGTTTTTTCCCTGCCTAACTGTTTGTTCCATTTGCGCGGGAAAACAGAGAGTGTGAGAGAAAATTGTCGGTGGTCGTGTATGAGTCAATTGTTTGCTTGATCTTATTACTTGGTTGTTTGAGTTTCAGTTCGAGTTCGACAGCAAAAATGGATTTTTTGCCATTACAGATTTAATATCTCTGAAGAAACATCTTGACCAAGGTTTCGGCAAGGAAAAACAAAGCAGTGGGACAGGGCGAAAAGAAG